ACACCCACACCCGCTCAAAAACAAAACAAAAACTTCTACGCATGCGCACCCATGAAACTTCTGCCCCTGAAATCGTTGAAAACAAAAACGAAACGAAACAATAACTTCCAGTCTTCCACGCACACGGGCTCACCCGAGACTTGAAATCAAAACAATTTCTCTCTGATGCGCTTGCGCTCTGACACCTCGGACGGCCTGACACAAATTATTGTCTGACACCTCTGACAACCTGACAACACTTATCGCACAATCCATATTCCATCTGCACATTTTCTCGATCAACGGCTTCCTGCGATCCACCCATCGCACATTGCCAACACCAGGTGTTGACGTAAGATAGCGTTTCAGGGCAAATCTCGACTGCCCGCTCCACCATCGGATGGTGGAAAAGAACTGAGGCTGCCAGGGTGAGGGACCCGTGGCTGATAAAGATTAGTAGTTTGTAGAAGATAATAACAACGACAATAGATGAATGAACCAGAATCAATGTCCGAATCCTGCCCTTACTGCCAGCCACTCAAGATATCCACCATACTCTAGGTCGAGCTGGTGGCTATGGCAGACCATCAGAGCCCAGCTCCGATGTTCAAAGGACAGCTCAAGGCTTCTATGCCTCTCCCACTATCACCACCATGCCACATTCCCCCTCTGGAGCCTTCCTGCAAGGTACAACCCCACAATGGGCCTTCCAGGTGCAGCGTCAACCAAGAGGATGAAGATGCAGACCACCTCCCTCCTTCACCCTCCTCCTCCTTCCTTCTTCCTCTTTCTTCCTCACTCCTCTGCAAGAGCCATGTCTTCCTCGTTCTCCGCCTTGGTCTTCTCCACCATAGCCAAGATGGGGCCCCAGGTCTGCCTTCTCGTCCACCCAGTGCCTCACCAGACAGGTGAGCGCTCAGCCTCAGGGCTTGCTCTTGGAAGAATGAGGCAAAGTCCAGCACTGCCTCTCTAGATATACCGTCTGCTAAACTCCTCCGCATGACTCTTCAGCCTCCTGACCTCTCGGCCTACTGGTTCCCCTGCCCCCTTTTGGTGGGAGAAACACTGCAGTCTGATCTTCCCGCTTTACTGGCGGGTACCTCCTTCCACCCTACTTTAAGTCTACCAGGCCATTACATGCTACCTCCGCCAACAAAGGTACTACCTTTTTGCCCTATCTGCATACGTACCAACAGCTACTTGATTTTCTGCCCCCCTGCAGCCTCCGTTCCCCTACTTTACCGCTGCACACACAGCCACAGGTTAATACCAGGCTTGACGGCCATGCAGACCATCAACAGTGGGTCACACACACCTTTACTTTTTTCTTTTTTTTCCCCCTCCCCTTTTTTCGCTTCTTCGCTTAAACCAGTGGAGTGACGGAGTAGCTAGGCCCTGGCTGAATAAGATTGAACCCTTGGACGCCGCTGCAAGGTCACGGGAGCAGCTCGCTCTCGGATCATGACGAATAACTGGGAAGGTACGAGGGCCATTGGGAGCATGGGTCCGCCATGCGTTGGTCTTGGCTTCGCGATCCAGCTTACTGATTGGCCTATTCCGCCCCTATCGTTTTTTCGGCTATTGCAGTCTTTTCATTCTTTCCATTTTTTCTTGCTTCCTCCTTTTGTCTCTGTTCTTTTCCCTTTTTTCCGTTGTCTTCTTTCTTCCTTTTTTTCTTTTTTCTTTTTTCTTTTTCTTTTTTTCTTTTTTCTTCTTTTCTTTCTTTCTTTTTCTCTTTTTCCTTTTTTCTTTTTTCTTTCTTTCTCTTCCTTTTTTTCTCTCTTTTTTTCCTTTCTTTTCTTTTGTTGCTTCCTTTTTTTCTGTACGTAGGATAGGCGTATGTAAGTCAATGGATAGCTGCGATAGCTTGTATCGGAAGGCTGTAGTTTGGGAACGCGCATCGCGGCTATATCAAAACAGAACGCCGGGGTTCTATTCATCAGAACATAGTGCGAACGGCTAACAACCAACGAGGCGACCGTTTTTTCCGCGATTGCAAAGGGTGGGTGGATCGACGGGCGATATGGACTTCTTCGCGGACTGGGACCTGGAAGAGGAGCAGCGGGACGAGGAGGAAGTGGTAACGTTGCTGGAGAACGGCACCTTCCCGACTCTGTGTCCGTACCCCGGTGCCTGAGCACTCCGGAGCTGGGCATCATGCATACTGCCTCTACCTGCCCCGCCGAACCTGCTCCGGCCAGCCCGCCTCCCATGCCGACGCGAAGCGTCGCCTTCGTGCTCCACCTCCTCCTCGCCCTACTTCCCAATCTCGCCATAGCCTGCGCGCTGTTTCTCGCATGCCTCTCGGAGGGTGTTTTTCTTCGGCTATCGGCGAGACGCTTCGCGTGTTTGGTCGGATGCACCATTTGCTTCGCGACCTTTTTCCTCGCCAGCTGCTGTTGCCTGTTCTTTGTCATAGGCGACGGGAGGTGGTTTGAGCAGTAGTCGAACAACGGGCTTAGTGAGGACAGAGCGATGGAGCGTAGATTTGCAGCGGAGGATTCGTCTTGCGCCTTTCTGGCTTTTCTCTCGTTCCTCTCCATCCTTTCCTTCCTCTACTTCATCCACTCCCTTCCCTACCCCTCTCCGCGTGACCTTCCCCTCCCCCCCGCCCCGACCCCCCCCCCCCCCCCCCCCCCCCCCCCCCCCCCCCCCCCCCCCCCCCCCCCCCCCCCCCCTCATAACCCGACTACCCCGCCAACGATCACCACC